TATACATATATATATATATATATATATATATATATATATATATATATATATATATATATATATATATATATGTATATATATGTATATATGTATCACCATTTTATACACACACATTTACTTTTATAGATATTTTTATAAAAGAAATTATCTTTTTATAAAAAGTTGTCTCGACATATCCATGATATTTCCTTGAAATGTAACGTTGAATAAGACTATCCTAAAGGATTCCCTATCTTTTGTTAATGTTAGGTGTTTGATCCTATAGTGTATACTCAATTTCTACTCAAATGTTGTTAAAATATTTTTCTTATACTTTCATGTTCACAACAACGAACTATTAACCTCCTTTAAAAAAAACTCCTATTTCTTAAATTCAAGTCATAGTCTTTGTTTATCCAGCATGATCCTATAACAACCCGTGAAGACACAATTATTTTTGGTAACACTTGAAATTGGATCCGTATATTTGAACTGCAGAGACATTTACCTCATGTTTGACTGAAAATGTTGCATTCACATGGATACTGCTCACAAAGAGCGCTACATGACAAGAAGTGAGAACATAGATATATGCCTAACTGTAAAAAAAAATAATAAGAAATATATATATATATATATATATATATATATATATACTGAAACGCAAAGCAGCCAGGACTTGAGCTGCCTCTATAACTGTGATTACTTGAAAAGATAATGTTTTCATAGCCTGAAAACTTTGACACCTTTCAAATAATACTTTCATAAGTAGTCTTTTCAACACTTTGAATGCTTCCACGTTTGATTCAGTTTCTTCTTAATAAAAAGACTATGATTCACTATTGTCTGTAAAAAGTCAAGTGCCATCACTATGCTGCATTGACATAGAGAAATTAAAGATAACAGAAATTTGATTGGATCTTGACGCATGAAGGCATTACTAAGAGAGTTTTTACATATCCTTGCTGCTGTATTTCTATTCCATCCATCATAGCTATGGCGCCACAGATACCATAACTACAACTCATTTTCTGAAAGATGGCGATGCCAATATTACTTCATCTGGCGGAACCTTCGAAATGGGGTTCTTCAGTCCAGGTAATTCTAAGCTTCGATATGTGGGCATGTGGTACAAGAACATATCTGTTATGACAGTTGTTTGGGTTGCCAACAGAGAAGCTCCTTTGACCAGTGGATCAGGTATCCTTAAGGTCATTGAGCCAGGACTTCTTGTCCTTCTCAATGGTACTAACGATGTTGTGTGGTCAACTAATACCTCTAGATCTGTGCAGAATCCCGTTGCACAGTTGCTGGATTCCGGAAATCTTGTAGTCAAAGAAGCTGGTGGTGGCAATTTTCTTTGGCAGAGTTTTGATCACCCGACTGATACACTATTACCAGGAATGAAGCTTGGTTGGAACTTTGTAACTGGCCGAGAGGTGTACTTGTCGTCATGGAAGAACGACGAGGATCCAACTCCCGGTGATTATACATACCACTGTGATCCTTCTGGTTATCCTCAGAACTTTCTGAAGAAGGGCTCAGATTCGTATATTGCTCTGGACCGTGGAATGGTCGCTCTTTTAGTGGGACACAAAACTCGAGAGAAGGTCCTTTCTATACATTTGGAGTATTCTCAAGTAAGACAGAGGTGTATTTTGGATATAAGCTCACATCTTCAATCATCGTGAGGTTGACATTGACTCAAAATGGTGTCCTACAGGTTTGGATTTGGGGTGATGGAAAACAGGGTTGGGTCCCTTTCCTCTTAATACCAGCAGATAACTGTGATATGTATAAGTTGTGTGGCGCATATGGTAGCTGCAACAGTCAAGATTCTCCTGTATGTGGATGCTTAGACAAATTTGTGCCCAAGAATACTGAAGCTTGGAAGAAGACAGACTGGTCAGGTGGCTGTGTTCGGAGAACTGAACAAAATTGTCTTCGAGGAAACGTATTTTTGAAGTATCCACATATCAAATTGCCGGACACCCGGAATTCGTGGTCCAATGTGAATATGACACTAGAAGAATGCCAGAATATCTGCTCTAAAAATTGCTCCTGTATGGCTTACTCAAATCCTGACATACGTGATGGAGGAAGTGGATGTTTATTGTGGTTTGAGGATCTGCTTGACATTCGGCAGGGACCCAATGGAGGGCAAGATATCTACATTAGAATGGCTGCTTCTGAATCAGGTTGGCTAGTTGCTACTTAAAGATTTCTCATGGATTACCTTAACATAGTAAAGGAATTTATGGTTACAGGCACTTTGAATCTAGCAGACCTGAAAGTAGTTTTGTGCCTATGCTTGTACACATCTAGTAGCATTAACTGCATTCCTACCTGCTCTATATATATCAAGGAACTAACAAATTTAACTGAACTAAAGGCTACTACTTTAGAGGGAAATAATCTGAATATATAAGCACATTGACTAGTTATACCCAGCAACTTTATTGGAACTAATTGAAAGGCACTTAGTTTTCTAAAGAACAGGCGATTAATATGTAGCATCAAAATATAAGTCACTCAAAATTAAAGAGGGTTATAGTTGGAATGAAGCACATTCAAAAATTTAAAAATGACTTGCATTAAACAAAGGATTCCAGAACCTATACAACTCATTATCAATAAATAAAAAATGGCGTGCAGTACTCCAAAGACTTGCAGAACCTGTATGACACAATATCAATATTCAACTCCCCACGGAGTATTAATTAACAATGTACTAGATTCAATCCCCACATATACTATGTCCCCCAAAAGAAAGGTATAATTCTTCCAGTTAGCCAATCTTTTTTCAGATAAATCCCAAGTAACTAGTAGGAAGGAACTCTGTTTGGCACCCTAAAACTACAACATTTAGCAAATCTTGAATTGTATTCACTGGAATTATTCTGTGAGATACTGAAATTTATTTTATATCGTTTGTTGGAATGGGCTTGCAGACAATCTGGAAAAATCGCATGGAAAGAAAGGAAAAGTACTTTTCTGGATTCTGCCATTATCAGTTGGTATGATTCTGGTAGTCTTTAGCCTGCTGATCTACCATAGAAGAAGGAAGAAGGCTTTAGCGCTTAAAAAGAAAGGTAAGATGTCCTTTCCTAGGAGCCAAATAGAGGAACTGAAATTTGAATTGAAAAGAAGTTTCATATTTGTCTGGTCTTTGCTGTAAAACAGAATTCACTTGATTTGCTTTATCTTATTAAAAAAAAAAAATCATGTTATTTGCTTTTGGCAGGAAGGTCAGGATGCAGTGGCAATTACAAGATGGATTACAACAGCGGCAATTGCGCTGAAGGATTTGAAATACCACTGTTTGACTTATCTGCCATAGTAAAGGCCACCAATAACTTTTCATTTGACAGAAAGATTGGAGAGGGGGGTTATGGACCTGTTTACAAGGTATACACACTTAAGGTCTAGTCCTTCAGAGTAAAGCTTGATGTTTAGATTCAATACCGGAGTTGTATGATAAAAGGCGTTAATGAAATAAACCTTTGCTTTGTGAAACCAAAAGGAGACGTATATAATAGCTAAGGGAAGAAAGGTGGGATAGGGGGAATTTCCTTCTGGTGCATGGACTTGTACATATCCAAAAATTCTTGGAATGTGTCCAAGAACCACTATATTTTGCTTCCTGGTCTTTCAGAGTAAAGATTCAGTATATTGTGTGATAAAAGGCTTACTGAAATAAGGGATTGCTTTGTGAAACCAAAACAGACTTATACAAGCTAAGGATAGAAAGGTGGGGATATGGGAGTGCTCTTCTGGTGCATGAACTTGGCGATATCTAAAAATTCTCAGAATGTGTCCAAGAACCACTCTTCATAGTTTTTCTATAAGGCTGTCTAAAAATTAGCTCTAGTTACTCAGCCAAGAGCCCGTAGCATTTGCAAGAATGTGCTGAAGGAGTAACCCATTACCCTTTGAGTGGAATTGCAGATTTAAGTGTTGAGGATATAGTTTGTTTAAGAAGAGAGAGTCCTTCATTCCTTATAGTCATTTATTTGTTCATTTTTTTCCATGTTCATAACTTGGTTAGTGCACATTTGACCTAAACTAGTGACCAAAATATAATAAATAAGCTAAACTCAAAACTGATATTTTGTTACTGATAGTCTCTTTTGATTTGGGAGCATCACCGACTTTGTGTACTTTTTTGATCAAATTGGATATTGAAATTAAAAGCAGAGATTATGATGTTTAGGGCATACATGAAGAACAGGAAATAGCTGTCAAGCGGCTATCTAGAACTTCCACACAAGGAGAAAATGAGTTCAAGAATGAAGTCATATATAATTCCAAACTTCAGCATAGGAATCTGGTGAGGATACTTGGCTGTTGCATTGAAGAGGAAGAAAAAATGCTGATCTATGAGTACTTGCCAAATGGGAGTCTTGATTCATTTATATTTGGTACAACTTCTCCATCCAATATTGTGCATATTGAATAATAACTGCATTCAGTGAACTGATGCCTATAGGACTACTTCACTGATCTTATTCCAACTTTGGAAGCCCCCAAGGCAGGAAAAGTCGTGCAACACAGTGGTGGAGCCACATGCACCAAAGGGGTGTCAACCGACACCCCTTTGCCGGAAAATTACACTGTATAGCTCGGTATTTTTAATATATATATATATATATATATATATATATATATATATATATATATAGATAGATAGATAGATATAATGACACCCCCTGACTTCTTGGTGAGTTTGTTTCTTTATATTTTGACTCCCCTTAATGAAAATCCTGGCTCGCCACCGGTGCAACAAGAGAAGTAAGAACCCAGCTATATAAATGCCAAATAATAACACACTTGGCAGCCCAAACTCTTGTAATAATTTTTCAAAAAGGAAAAGGACTGATTTTGCTTTAGGTCTTAATACCACTTTCCACTATATCTAATTAGTGCATAAATGCTCCGATATTATTTTGGCAGATAATGCACGAAGCAAGGTATTAGACTGGCCCAAGCGATTTCACATTATCAATGGTATAGCTCGAGGACTTATGTATCTGCATCAAGATTCTCTACTGAGAATAGTACACCGAGACTTGAAAGCTAACAACATATTGTTAGACAAGGACATGAATCCAAAGATATCCGACTTCTGCATAGCAAAAATATGTGAAGAGGATGACATTGGAGCCATGACAAACCGAGTTGTTGGAACATAGTAAGAACCTTTTACAGGCTAGTTCGAAATCTAAAAATAAGATGAATCATGAGATATTACTATGTTTTCCAGCATTAGTAACTCTAACTTTTGTGAACATCTATGCAGTGGGTACCTATCACCGGAATATGCAGTGCGTGGGAAATACTCAGTAAAATCAGATGTATTTAGCTTTGGTATCTTAGTGTTGGAAATTGTGAGTGGGAAAAGCAACAGAAGGTTCTCTCATCCAGACCATAACCTTAATCTACTTGGACATGTAAGTTTTTAATTGTTTTATTTTACTTATACTTTGGTGTTATGTCATCTACTAGAAAAGGATATCTTACAAAGCTAGTCGGTGCTAATAAGCTTGTAAAATTTACAGGCATGGGAACTCTATAAAGAAGGAAGCTCAATAGAACTACTTGATGAATGCCTAGGTGATTCTTGTTCAACACCTGAAGTGCTAAGATCAATCTGTGTTGGTCTATTATGTGTCCAACAATGTCCAGAAGATCGTCCAAGTATGTCTTCTGTGGTTCTGATGTTAAACAATGAAGGTGTATTACCACAGGCTAAACAACCAGGTTTTTACATAGAAAGAAATGCACCCAATGGTCAATTCTCTTCTAGTCAATATGCACAGAGTACAGTAAGCGAGACCCCCATCACAATATTAGCTGCCCGATAGAAAACATTGGTTCACTTGTTTTCAACAAGCTTGCAGTTATAATTTTTTCTTTAATTCTTTGTAGAAATGTGGTGAAAAATATTTGAGTGTATGATTGTGCTTTATTGGTTTCTCAACTATGTCAAACATATGTAAATATGAAGGCTTGCTGATCTGCTGTTACTTCTCAATCTCGTTTAATTTGTATTTTTATAATACTTAATACTACGGCCTGCTTTGTTTGATCGAGTAATTTGCTTTCTTTTTTGTAACTTCCAATATATGATGAGTTGTGAAATTTACATTAAGCAAAGTTTGATGGCTGCAATCAATTAATTAGAAAACTCTGTGGGATTAGTAAGAGAATGGCCACATTGATCAAGTTCAAGCTCAAAACCAAAAATAAGATTCATAGAATAAGATGATGTTTCATATGTCCCTAAAGCTGTTCTTAACTAACAAGATATTATCTACGGATTTAATCCATCGGTAAATTGTTTTAGGTTTAGTACTTTAGCAATGGATTTTGTCCATCACTACAATCAATTTTTTTCTCTAGTGTACTCCATTTGTTCCAATTTATACGATGTTCTTTGTAGTTTGATATGTTCCAAAATGTTCGTTCATTCCAATTCAATACGACTAACAACTTTCAATAAATCAAATTTGAGTTAAAACTTTGATCAGATATTTTCTCAACCAAACTATCTTTTTAATCATTACTAATATTTCCTTCTGGCTTTTACTATCACGAATATAATCTATAAATCAGAGTTACTCCATGCCCGATCATGAAGGGGAGCCTGAGCAACGGTCACGGGTGGAATCAGAGATACTGCTATTTGCGTTAGCGTAGGCTGCTTACAATCACACTCCCTTGAGGTACGGTCCTTCATTGGACCTTCCGTGAATACGGAATACTTCGTGTAACGAGCTGCACTTTTACTCCATGTCCAATCATATACGGCCCTTTAAAACGGGAAGGAGGGAGCAACAAGTTACAGGTAACCCCTTTTCTCGAATGTGAACAGACTATATATCCTTTTTAGTTAAAGCAAAAATTCACGTTAATTGAAGAAAGAACTGATAGCATTCCGTCAGTTGATGTAAGAAATTAATTGTACCTTGAGGTAGCTGCCGTTAGCCTTGGCCAGTTTGAGACTCAGATGAACACCGAATTTTGATCGGACTCAGCTGACTATGATCATGCCCACAAGCTTTGCCGGCTGTAAATTCATAATTGGAGAACTGGAAAAGAAAATGGAAATTGTTAGAGATTTTCAAAAAGACAAAAGGGTGCAACTTCAAATAAAGAAGTTTGCACCACTTTAATTATTAAAGATGAAATTCGTATCGTATCGAGAAGCACCTGATCTTCACTATAACTCTTGGATTTTCCAAAAAAAATCATGACATAAGAAAAACCCTAGGAAGGAAGATGAACATACGGGCTACGGCAGGAGAATTAGATGAAAATGGAGACTAGAACGACGACGGGTCGACGGTTTAAGCAAAGAGAAGAGGAGTTTAGTTATGGATTTTCCCGCCACTGTCGCGTAATTCTAATTATGTGAACTGTGAAGAGTTGTGTGTGATCACTGATGTGTTAGATGGGCAAATTTTATTATATATGCTTATGATGAACCAAACCAGGAGTGTTTAATTTTAAAATTAATTGATAGCTGATAAGACTTAAGTGTTGCCAAAATATTTTTAAGTGCTGAAATAAATTTTATAAATGAAGCAGTTACGTATAAAATAGTGTTTTGACAAGAAACTAATTCGATTCACCAAGAATTGTGATTCTATTGTACTTCGTCCAAATTTCATGTGAGGCCTCTCGTAGGTGTCATTTCTTGTTGTTTTTAGAGAGATAAATTTTGTAGAAGACAAATTAAAATTGTATTCTATTGAAATCTGTCTTTTGTTACAAGTAGAAATGGAATATATACATTTCACTATCTACTAACCGGCTCTTGTTATCCATGTGTGTAAATGAAAAGAAGAATACATAATTAGGCTATTTTAGAAACTTTTTGAAACTATATGTACAGCCCGTGTGGGAAAATAAGAGAGATCTGGTGGTGGCCTAATATGCCCAATAACTTCCTTGATGCCCAATAGCTTCCTTTACCCGTATATCTCCATTTAGTGGCCATTTACCTCATTTGAGCATAGGCATTGAGAAGAAAACCCTAGCACATCTTCTTCTACTTCTTCATTCTGAGACTCAACCTGGGTCCGGTGAAATATCACCGGCAACACCCCCCCCCCCCCCACCGCGTGGAGGGGGCGGAAAGAACACCCAACTTGCCTAGTAAACCACGATGAAGAGGCCCAGAAAGGGGCTTAGTGAACAGATCAGTGAGCTGGTGGTGAGAAGGAAGAAAAGAAAGAGATATGAGACCAGCTTGGAACTGTTGCCGGACGAAATGGCAGTCAAGTTCCACATGTTTGGTATGCTCGTGAAAGACGGAATTTTTAGCGATGTGAGTAGCAGCCTGACTTTCCGAGTGAAGTGGGACTGGTAAAGAAGAGACGATAGAAAGATCATCGAGAAGACGAACGAGCTAGGTTAACTCTGCAACAACACGCCTTATTACTGGTACTCGGCCTCAATAGAAGACAAAGAGACGGAAGGTTGTTTCTTTGATTTCCATGAAACAGGACAACCCCCCAAACTGATGAAAAAAACACTAACTGAACGACGACTATCACGGCAAGAACCCCAATCGGAGACGCAAGGCGAGCAAATCAAGAGAAGGATCAACAGACATGAAAAGGCCCAAACTAGGATCACGAAGGAGGTAATGAAGACAGTGATGAGTAGCAGAAAAATGAGGCTCACGAGGATCCCGCATGAATTGGCTAAGATGCTGAACGGCAAAAGAGATATCAGGACGAGTATGAGTAAAAAAATTAAGTTTCCCCAATAGTCGACGATAGAGCAAAGGGTCAGAAAGAGGAGCACCAGCCCCTGCATGGAGTTTGGAAGAAGGATCCAAAGGAGAAGAAGCAGGAGATAGACCAAGACAATCAAATTCAGTAAGGAGTTCCATGGTGAACTTGCGTTGACAAAGAATCAGACCAGAGGGCTCACGAAGGACTTCCATTCTCAAAAAATAAGATAAGTTGCCCAAAACCTTTATCTTAAATTCCTGATCTAGAAAATGTATTAAATCATTGAGCTTTTGAATATTGTTGAATGTGAGTAAGATATCGTCCACATAGACAGCCACCAAAGAGACAAAATCACCATTCCTCTTGTAGAAAAGAGAGTAGTCATTTAAGGAATGAGTAAAACCTTTGAAATTAAGGGCAACAGTCAAGCGAGAATACCATTGTCTAGAAGCTTGACAAAGTCCAAAGAGAGATTTCTTGAGACGACAAACCAAATTAGGAGCAGGAGGGTCTAGGCCAGTTGGGAATTTCATATAAACCTCTTCGTGTAGATCCCATGTAGAAAAGAGTTGTTCACATCCAATTGATAAAGACCCCAATTTTCTTGACTGCAATAGCAAGAATACACCTAATTGTGGTCATTTTGACTATAGGAGAGAAAGTCTCTGTAAAATCAATCCCTTCTCTTTGAGTGTCTCCACGAAGCCTTGAGTCTTTCCACACTACCATCATATTTAAGTTTGACCTTGTAGACCTACTTATAGGGTAGTGCTTTCCTTGCAACTGGTAGTGGAACAACTTCCCAAGTATCATTGGCCTTCAAGGCATCAAGCTCTTCGGCCATTGCTTCTTGCCAACCAGGGTCCAATGCTACTTGAGAATAACAAGAAGGCTCATTTATGTGAGGTAGGGAATTCAAGAGGTTTTGGTTAGGAGTAGAGAGTAGGTTAGCAGAAATAATAGAAGGGGATACAGGTGAGAGGAAACAAGATGTAGAAACATCAGTTAAATGGATTGCTCCACAAATATAGTCAGACAAATAGGCAGGTGCATAGTTCTCTCTTAAAGACCTGCGCAAGACATCATGAGTAGTACTGGAATTAGGTGAATGGCCATGATTAGGATTAGGAGAAGAAGCAGATGTGAAAGGTGAAGTGGTAGGAGCAGTAGAAAAATCAGAAGGAGAAGAAGATGGTGTGGATAATGGGCTAGAAACAAGACTATGGTGATGTGACGGAAGGGAAGCAGTAGGTGAAATAGGACAGAAGGCCGCTTAGTAAGAGGGGATAGAGCAGGGAATGGAACATGAGGAATAGAAGAAGAGGGAGTAGCAGCAGGTGAGGAATCAACATATATAGAGAAATCAGTGTTAGAAGAGGGAGGAAAGAAAGAAGAGAAGTTAGTGTGAGAGTTTGTAAAAGGAAAAACTGACTCATGAAAAATAACATTTCTGGAATTGAAAATTTCTCTAGTCTATAGGTTTAACAACTTGTATCCTTTCTTTCCAGTACGATATCCAAGGAAAACACAAGTAATTACCCTGGGATCAAGTTTGCCTCTAAGATAAGGCAAAGTGGAGGCAAAATACAGACAACCAAAACTCCTAAGAAAAGTTTAATCAGGAGCTTTGTGAAAAAGTACTTCATAAGGAGATTTATAGTGAAGAAGTTTAGTTGGAAATCTATTAATGAGGAAAGTGGCAGTAAGAAGACATTCACCCCAATAACAAATAGATACTCTAGAATGGAAAAGAAGGGCTCTACAAGTTTCCATCAAATTCTTGTGTTTTCTTTCAACAATATCATTTTGTTGAGGAGTACCAACACAAGTGGTTTGGTGAAGAATTCCTTTTGAAGAGAAATAGGCTATGGCTGCAATACTAATACCTAATTCGAAGGCATTATCAGACCTGATTTTCTTGACCTTGACTTCAAATTGTCTTTCTATCATAGATATGAAAGACTTTAGGACAATGAAAGCATTACTCTTGGTGCTCAACAAATAGGTCCAAGTACCCCTACTAAAATCAACAATAATTGTAAGGAAATACTTAAAACTATTATAGGTAGGTATTTTATAAGGACCCCAGGTATCAATATGAATGAGTTCAAAAATATGAGAAGTAGAACTGTTACTAGCAGAAAAAGGTAATATGTGTTGTCTAGCCATACGGCAAATGGAACAAGGAATATCTTCTTTACAAATAACATTTTATGGTAAAAAAGAAATGTATCTCATGGTAGAAATGGGTAAATGTCCCAGCCTTATATACCACAAATTGTTACCAGAACTAACATAATTAGACATAGTTTGTGAATTACAATAAGTTTGAAAGGAATTTTGTGTAAATGTAACATTCTGATGTTGATGCAGAGAATCAGCAGAATGATGAATTGAATGAAAAAGATAGAATCCAGCTTTGACATCACAAAGGACTAGAGGCCTCCTCAAAGAAAGGCTCTGCATCAAACAACAAGTTTCAGCAAAGGTAAGAAGGACTTTGAATTGACTGCATAATTTGTTAACTGAAATGAGATTGGATTTAAAATTTGGGACATAAAGCACTCTGTGTAGGGTCAAATCTGGATGTATGGGTTCTTGTTCTGCTAGAGTAACTTTTACCCTTTGTGAATTAGGCAGGTTAACATTAACAGGGTTGAGTAGTGGTTTGATATTAACTATGATAGTAGAGTCAAATGTCATGTGTTCTGAAGCACCAGAGTCAAGGATCCAAATATGACTCTTAGAATTACTATGTGAGTAGGGAAGAATAGGCAAGCATGTACCGACACAGTTAGCATTCACATTGACTTCAGGACTTGCTGTAGCTTGATGACCAATTTTAACTTGTTGAAGCAATTCCATTAACTGTGATTATTATTCCTACTTTATACCAATTATTGCCTCTGTATCATTTGCCTGAACTTGCCCATAACCTTCATCTGTCACAACAACATTCCCTTGAATAGGATTCTGAAATCTTCTTTGTTTGAAATCTGGCTTAAAATTCTGTGGATAGCCATGAAGTTTATATCATTTGTTAATCGGGTGTCCTTTCTTTTTACAATAGTTACAATTGAGATTCCTCCTATTTTCTTGGTTGTTTCTGAAATTATAACCACCAGTAATCATTGTAAAATTTGTGGTTGTTCCTTGAGCTTGGTTAGGCCTTTGTGTTGGAACAACAAAAGAACTAGATTCACTAGGATATTGACCCATACTCTGTATTCCCCTCTGCCTTTCTTCTTGCAAAAGTAGGTAATATGCTCTATCAATGTTAGGTGGTGGATGCATCATCACGATATTACCCCTAACACTAGTGTATGACTCGTTCAAACCCATTAAAAAACTGAACTAGTTTCTATTAATTGTTATCCACGTGTGTAAATGAAAAAGAAGAATACATAATTAGGCTATTCTAGAAACTTCTTAAAAATATATGTACAGCCCATGTGGGCAAATAATAGAGATCTGGTGGTGGCCCAATAACATCCTTGATGCCCAATAGCTTCCTTTACCCATATATCTCTATTTAGTGGACATTTACCTCATTTAAGCATAGGCATTGAGAAGAAAACCCTAGCACCTCTTCTTCTTCTTCATTCTGAGACACAACCTGGGTCCGGTGAAAAGTCACCGACAATATTTCTTTCTCTTCTCTATGGTAAAATCGCACAAATAGACCCTTTTAGGGACACCCTTTAAATGTCGTCCTTTTTCAAGGAGGTTTATAAATATTGCTACCCGCTTCTCAAGCGAAAGAGTGAAAACAAATATTGGTTCTACACAATTTAATCCGAGGAGCTAAAGTTTTAAGTTGTTCCGTTTGTATTCTATAAATTCAGGGGTCATTTGGTAGGGTGTATAAGAATAGTGTTGAATAAGGTGTATTAGTGATGCAGTGATTAATAATGCATGGTTAGTAATGCAAGCATTAGTTATTATCCACTGTTTGATATGGTGTATTAAAAATTAAAATGCATTGCATAATTTTTTTAAGAAAATTAGTTGTTTACAAAAATGCCCTCCATATTATTTAGCTTTAAGGGACTTTAAGGATAATTTTATCTTTAACCATGCTAATGCATTCATTAATAGTCTTGGTATTGCTAATACCATCGTTTGCGTGTGCTTATTCCATTGTTTGCTATGTATTAGTTATACATAGGATAATACCAAATAGGTTGTACAAGTAATGCTTGCATTAGTAATACATAGATTGAAAAAGTGTATCAAACAAGGGATTAGTAATATGAAAAGATAATGCATACATTATTTTCACTATTTCTATCCTACCAAATGACCCCTAAGTCCAGCAGGTTAGCAAAAATTTCTATATAGATTGTTTTGCTTGTTCTGTTTGCAGTACATCTAATCATAACATAAGTCATACGCAGACGATTCCATATCCTTATAAACAGGTAAAATGCATACCACCAATTACATTTCTATTTTAACTTTGAAGAGACAATGAATGCATTCCATGATGGGTGTCAAATGGGCGAGTTGGACTAATTTTGAGCAGATTAAAATAGGCTAAGTCAATAAATAGGAGGTCATTAACACGCCCAGAAGTTAGGGAAAGCTTAGCAAATACTCATCCCATGAAAAATAGTTACCCGCCCTTACCCATGCCTTTTTTCCTTACTCATTTTTTTTAACCCAGCCAAATGACTAAGCTACCAAATTGCCAATTCAAGCCAAGCCAAGCCAAATCAAGCAAAGCTAAGCCAAATGAGTAAAAAAAAATTAGACAGCTAGGTAGGTAGGTTAGGTAATTAGTTTTAACATGGTAGGTATATATTATAAATAATTTTCAAATGGGTAGAGAAGGGCAATTATTTTAAGCTCTATGTGTATTTTGCATAAATTACTCCAAAAAAAATTACTTAGGCTAAGAAGGGATGGATCAAGATGTGCTAAAACTTGAGTCGTAGCCTAACTTTATCAAGTTTTAATTAATGTATGTTATTTTCTTATGAATGCTTAACTATCAAATAAGACTTTTTTTTTTGTTATGGTCATATATAATATATCAAACAAAAAAGAATTATTTTTTAAGATATTTTATCAAATTTAACCATTAATCAATTTGGGCTAAAAATCAGCTCAACTTTAAATGAGCTGCGATGAGTTAGGCGAAATGGGTTAAGTTCAACAAACGGGCGGGTCAATAACCAGACCAACCTTGGGCAGGTCAAATGGTTTAGGCTAAAATTGCTATCCTTACATTCCATTTAATAACTTCATTTTATAGGTTTAATTTCACTAGTGGTTATTTCTTTATTTTTTATTAAGCCATTAACCTCCGGCAGGGTGCCTTTGGTTATGGTGGGTTTGGCTTGACCTCTACCATGTCAATATATACTAAAAAAGTACAAAGCTAGAGGGGGACATGGACCTAACCTCCAACACAAAAGAAAGGAAGAGTCACATCTATACTTATACTCTTTCATTACAAAAGTATATACAAAATCAACTAACAAAAAAATTAGCCTTGTCATATCTTCTTCTAATGCTGGAAAATTGCCATCTATCTAATTGAAATGGTCCCTTTGCCTCTTTAGCAAGTTGATTAAAAGAGGTATACAAAGTACTATTTCCACTCGACGAGGCTAACTTAGCCAAGTAATCGACCACTTGATTGGCTTCCCTGAAACAATGTAAAATTTGTACATTTGCAATTTCAGTCATATGCACAATTTCTCTAGTCATCTTCCTTAGTTTTAGATTGTTGGTGTCTCCATTTCTAATCATGTTTGCAATGACTAAATAATCCATTTCCAGGTCATATCTTGTATACCCATTTTGGTTGCACCATCTAACACCATAAAATGCTGTAAATGCTCCGGCTTGATTGTTAGAAAAACATTGAGTTGTGACAGAGAAAGCCATAATTAGCTCTCCTGTATTATCTCTAACAGTGCCGCTAATTCCTGCTTCACCGTTCTCACTCAAGAAACTACCATCTGTATTGATTTTGATTCTCTGCATCGGGTTTGCTCCACGTCACTTGCCTCCATAGAACTATAAGTTCAGTCTTTCAATGATATCAAAAATTTGTAACCAAGTACCTTCTATTTTGCATTTTAGGAATGCAATATACAAGGCAGCTTTAATACTCCAGTGAACTTGTAAATCTATTTTTGAGAATGTCATTTTCTTTTGATCTCCAAATTTACAAGCAGTCCAATTTTTCCAAATTTCCCAACATACGCATATTGGAGCAACTTGTTAAACCATTTTGTGGACATTATTCATAGGCTTAACATCCCCCCATTCATTAAAAACTCTTCTTATAGGCAAGTTTTGGTGCCTAATTCCCTGTGGAGCTCCAAATATCCTCCAAGTATGACTAGTAACTTCTCCCTCAACAAAAGCATGATGGATGGTTTCACATTTTGGTCTCTAACAACAAGTGCATCTAGAAACCAATTGGTTCCCAATTTTTGCTATTATCTCATCAAAAGGTAATTTCTTTTTATACAACCTCCAGATCAAGAAAGATATTTTAAAATGAATAGAATTATGCCGTACCTTGCTTAGTTCAAGAGATTTCTGTTTAGAGGCTCTAATGCTTTTCCAAGCAGACTTGTTAGTGAACTGGCCATCTTCAGTTGCATTCCAGATTACATAGTCCTCTTTATTAGAATGTCATATGCCAATGTTGTTAATCTGTTGTACTAGTTGTTCAGGCATAATGCTTCTCAGTTTGTCCAGATTCCATGCTTCATCCCTAACGTAATACTTCACTTTGACCTTGGAACTTCTAGTAGAGCTTGAGACCATTCTGGCTATAGCACCACTCTCGGACCAGTTATCCCACCAAAAACACAACCTCCACTATTAATTTTCCATATCATATTCGTCTCGGCATTATCCCTTACCTTCAAAAGATGTCTCCACGCCTGTGAGCAATTTGAAGTTACAATCTTAGCTACTGGATGTACATTTTGACAATATTTTACTTTCATAAACTCTGCCCACAGAGAATCTTGAGTTCTCAATCTCCACCATCTCTTAATAGCTAAGATAGAGGATATATCATTAATGCTTATAATGCCTATACCACCTTCATCTTTTGGAAGACAGGTTCTTCCAAGAGCTGCAGTGATATTTGCCCTTGTCCCTATTGGTTCCCCAATAAAACCTGGCAAAATATCTTTCTAATAAGTTCAAAGTAGTTTTTGGGGGGTTGATTGCACTGAGAGTATATGTAGGAATTAACTGCAACACACTTTTAATTAGCACAAATCTGCCTCCATAAGTTAGCATCTTACCTAGCTATCCACGGAGTCTCTTGACTACTTTGGTAACCATGTTATGAAAGTAAGATATCTTCTTCCTTCCCACATATATAGGACACCTCAAGTAAGTGAAAGGGAAGTTCTTCTCCATAAACCCAATACATTCCCTCAGCCTGGTGATTCTATATGCACAAGTATTTGTATCTGTAAGGAAGAAGCTTTTGTCTTTGTTAACTTTTTTCCCAGAAGCCTTTTCATATGCTCTCAATTGTTTCAAGATGAGTTTGACTGATTTCCTGTTTCCACTGTTGAAAATGACAATGTCGTATATATATGATAAGTGATTTATGTTTACCTCGAAAAATGTGAGTAAATATTAAAGATGATTTGTGATTTTAAAGATATGTGATTTATTCCAATACTAGTGAAGATACAAATAATATTAGGTTTAAGTAAGAAGAATTGATTAACCAAACCGGTGTTGTTAGAGCAACGGGGATCTCGAGCTCGAATATCTCGGGGGCCTCGAGGTGAGTTAAGAGCCAATAAAGTATGAACAATAAAGTAAGAACAATAAAGCCGAAGAACAATTGTGCAGCACAGTAAACGCGAAAAGCA